AGTAATGTTTGCCAAGCAACCAAATCAGTTTGGTCTAGTGAATCTTGGAGAAAGCACAGTACCTGGTATCCAAGTTTGGCTTCAAAACAGAGTCCATCTCAATGACATCCTCCAACAGCAACTTCTAAGAGCACAGCAACGAATGAAAGCACAAGCAGATAAACATCGCTCAGAGCGTCAGTTTGAAGTTGGTGATATGGTCTTTTTGAAACTTCAGCCCTATGTTCAGATGTCAGTAGCTCGACACTCTTGTCAGAAACTCTGTTTTCGATATTTTGGACCATACAAGGTGCTGGCTCGAGTTGGTGCAGTGGCATATAGATTGGAATTACCCACGGGCAGTGCAGTTCATCCTGTTGTGCATGTGTCGTTGCTGAAGAAGGTGCTGAAACCCAACATACCTGTAAGTAATGATTTACCCTTAAATTGCTTTGATAATCCTGATACTGTCCAACCTGAAGCAGTTCTACGGAGACAATTGATTAAACGTGGCAAGTTAGCTGTTCCATATGGTTTGGTGCAATTGTCGGGGCTTCCTGCTTCTCTGGCGACTTGGGAAAATCTTCGTCAACTTCAAGCACGTTTTCCGTCATCACCAGCTTGGGGACAAGCTGATACTTAAGGAGGGGAGAAATGTCGTGATCCTTAAGTCTATTAGATACTTCGTCGGTGATTCTTTGAATTGGGTTGTATTCTGTGATGGGCCGTAGATGGGCCGGTTGCGTGTATGTGTATCGATATGCCGTGCTGGTTCGGCGGTGGCATCGGACACATGTGCGTTGTGCGGCCATTTATATGGCGAGCTGAGCTGTAAAGCATTTATCAAATAAGAAAAACTCAAACCAACAACCTCTCATCGTATACCTCTGTTCTGCTCTACTCCTCCTCTCGTTCCTCAATCGCGAACCTGATTCCCCTTCAATCTCCGAGCGTTTCGCCGGAATCCGAGAGTTCGTGACACTGCTGTAGTGCTGCACCACCCTCCCCAATGACCGGGTGACCGGCTTCTCTTCTCTATACACAGCGCGCAATCTGACCTGTACATCCATCCTCTCAGTCTCAATGGGGTAATCCAGGTGAGGTGGCGACGAGGCCCCAGCTCTTGCCCCTTTGCCGCCCGCTGCCGGATTTGAGCAGATTAGGCACTTACTTCCTTTCTCCCGAATGATAGATTCAGCACAAGCGCCAATCTATCATTCGCCGGCCAATGCTAATCGGGTTATCAGATTTATTGGAACTTAATTGTACTACTACCTCCGTTTCAAGTTATAAAACTTTCAGATTCATTAACATATATATGAATGTGAGCAATGCTAGAAAGTCTTATAACCTGAAACGGAGGAAGTAATTTATAATGCATTTGTAGCACCTATTCTCAAGTTAAGCAGATAGGGTGCACTAGTGCCATAGTAGTTCCTTCCTGTTCCCACAATGCCACAGAACAATTGATGGTTTATTTGGAAATCCCATGGCATTTCTAAACAACTGATGGTTGCAGAAGTGAGCACTACTTTGTGCTAATGGGATTAAAAACTTATTAATAGTTAATAATAGGCTTAGTCAGTATACACCCTAGTTGACATCTAACCACTGCTATTCTATTCCATTTTGAAAAGACAACAACCGTGGTGTCTGCTCCCGTGACTGCCAGGCTGACTTGTGGGCCCACATTGTCGGTGAGAGGGGGAGCGTCTCCGGCCGCGCACGTGTGGGGCAGAGAGGTGGTGGGATACACGCGGTCTGCAAGGATGGAGGAGGGTGCGCCGGATCTGCCCCTCCCGTCGCCGACGCCGGAGGATCCTCACGGTTGTATGCTGTCGTCGTCGCCCGAGCTCACTGCCGCCCTCGTCGACGAGCCGCTGCCGCCGCTCTCGCCTCGCCCACTGCTCGAGCCTGTCGCACCGTCGCGAGGAGTGGTAGAGGGAGAACGAGGAGACAGGGGAGGAGCAGGAGAGCGATGGTGAGCTCCTGGTCGCCGAGCGGGCGCCGGATCTGCCCCACCCATGGCCATCACTGATGGATCCATGCGCATGGGGGGCGGACAGGCGGCGGGATCCGTCGATGAGAGGGGGGACAGAGAAGGGCAGGAGCACCAGCCACTCGAACTGCTCAAAGACGGCGCACCTGATTGGTCAGAGTTGTGTCTTTGATATTATTTTTCTTTATTCTTCCTCCGATTATGTGAACTTCTCGTATAAATTATATTTTACCAAGTACAAGTAAAAATAGATTATTCTTAAATAAATATGCATGCAAGCATTGCTAGTTTTCTCTTATTTTCGGATATACTGACGGTCGAAATTGGTCTGTAACGACCGTCAACAATAAGCTAAGGTTATAATCCACCCTAGTATTGTTGTGCTCAAGCCCCAAGAGGCCCTTTAGTTCTAAAGCAGAGAACATAATCCGCAGTCAGCTAGTTCTGCCGTAGATCGTCTTGGTTTTCTATGTTTATTGACTGTGGCATTCTCTTCTTCTGGCACGATTAGCTAGATTGTATTACTATCATGAGGAATGTGATAGTGCCATCTGAGAATGAGAAAGCTTGAACAAGGTTAAGCGGGTTGTTTAATCAATAGGACGCCATGAGCAAGGCAAGTCAGTATATGCTTCCCTCCTTGAGCATGTGTATCCCTTTTTAATAAATGTGTTGATTGCAAATAAAATTGCATGTTACTTACAAAATGTGTACCCAAAACTTGATTATAAGCCACCTTGAAAGTGTTAACCAAACTCCTTGTTGCGTTCGTCTTATATTATGCATTGGTCAATTAATGATATGGCTTAGCAATGATAGTTTAGACTTTCGTATACTCCATGCTTGAAATATGGATGTGAACACAATGATTACTCTCGGATGGGTGATTATCGGAAAGTGGATTGCGTGGGTGATTATCAGAAAGCGGATGGAGACATGGGCACCAACCGATGTTTCAAAACCTTTGGGAAACCAAACACTTAATCAAATGATTTGTTTTCTACTAGGGTGGCACAGATGGAATTTGGATGGCTCTACGAAATGGCTAGTCACCGACCTTGGTCAGTCAAGGACTGACTTCTAAGCTATGCAGTAAACAAATAGAGTACAATTGTATTTCTTGAATGGGTATAGACCCAGTGGATTCAGTAATCCGAGTGGGGCGACATCCCATACATGGTTGGTTCTGTACTCAAATTGTTGTGACGTTGCATCCAAGTGTCGTAGTGATATCAATGTCAAACCTAAAATGCACCATAGTTATATATAAAACTAGGTGAAACCCCGCACGTTGTTGCGGGAGCTTGGTATGATAATAATAAATTGAAATAATGTGTAAGATAGCTAGACGACAGAAACTTGCATAATTTGATGTGGTTTATCATAATTTAAATAGTATATAGAATGATGATCCAAATGTAAAATTAACGTGATGTGACTTTATGAGAGAAGAAAATGAGGGAGATCATTCCAATGATAGATTAATCATTTGAGAGCTAGAAACAATTGAGGTGATATAGCTTAATGAGATAAGAGAGAAATAACATTAACTAATTAAGTGAGGATGAATTGTGTAGGTATATAGATATTATACAAAATGATGGAGAGATATATTGAAATATTTTGATAATTACATGGAATGATGATTTAATATGCTTGGATTTTAAAAGCTCTAAAATTTAAGTGAGGATGAACTATATATGCATATAGGATATTATAAGAAGTGATGGAAAGATATATTGAAATATTATGTGAATTATGTAGGATGATAATTTAATTAACATGCTTGTATTTTAAAGCTCTAAAACTTAATAAATTAGCATGCTTGCATGAGGTTTGAGATGTAATAATTGTTAGTGGATGTGATAGCTTTGCATGTTAAGTTTAGTGGGCCTTAACTTTATAGAAAGATAGGATGTAACCATCTGGATGCCCGGGTTTGAGGTCTCCTCTCACCGCTAGCTCGAGTTAGGGATGGGCACTTGGAGTGCATGAGGGTTATAGTGTCATGCGTTGGGTGCATTACTGACTGTGAGTAAATCATACATCCACTATGTGAATAAAACAAATCTATCGAATTGCGGTGCTCGCGATTAAAGAATCTCCGAGACTTGTAATACTCCTGACCAGCCTTAGATATTTTAAACTTGTTTACATTAGGATTTGGAAGCTATGTGGCCTATCCACTCTTTGCATGCGGGAAGGTTGGCATTGGTGATGATATATGGTAAGTTGGATACGAGGGTAAAACGAACCTAGAGAAGCTTGGGAAGGTGAATGGAGCTCTCGTTGATGGTTAACAACTTGAACTTAACGTTGTTTTCAGTTAAAACAACTAAGTCATAGATTTATGAATTAATTTGCGAAAATTAGCTTTATGCAAAAAAAAAAAAACTAAGCCATCCTTGAATCCCAGTATACACTGATACATCTTGTAGTGTTGTCTTGATGAGTACGTTTGTACTCACTGTTGCTCGTTTACATTTTTAGCATTGGAGCAGGTTAGAAGCGAAGACCTTGCTAGCATGCTCGCTTGCTTAGTGGGATGATCGGAGTGGTAGTTGATACTAAGTCATGATCCCAATCAACGGTTTGTGAGCATGTTGCCTGGGTCTAGCATTAATCTGGATTTCCATTGTTGTTTATGTGATAGGATGTGGCATTATTAGCCTTATTAAAGGTATTAAACTCTTTTAGTTTAATTTTATTTTGTTATATGTTTCGTACTGGTTACACTTGTTTTTACCACCTAATAATTGAGGGATTGATATAGGGAAACTTAATAGGTTTCCAGTTTCCTAAACTGGGGGATAACAAGGCCTAGCATGAAAAAATCCGCCAATGGGCACCATTAGGCCGCATTTAGATCCTTGTCCTCTTACCACCACTTGAAACTCCTTGTTTGCCTCACGCTACCACCATAGGGGTGTCGTAGGCTCTCCGGACCTTCCATTACAATTGAGACATGAAGTGAATAATTCAAGTCATCAAACAAGTATAATGAAATATCAAACGTCTCGAGAGAGGAATATCGGAGACATTGCTGGGCCTTTAGTCTGCCAGCTAACTTCAGTCTGAGATGTGCCCGTCAAACTACTCGAAGGCGGCGACAAGATGTGTTACACATTCAGGAGACTTGACAAAAATGGCTAAAGATCTACAACATCTCATATGTTTTTAACTCATACTCATGTGAATCTAGCTCCTAAGATATGCACTAGATTCACACTTTCATCTTAAGGATGGTTACACATAGCAAACACAATAAGATGAGAGCAATTAAAATTTACAACTAATTTAGAGATACATAGGCCGATCGGCCAAATAAATATTAGATAACAGCGGAAGCTTGACTACCCAATCACAAGCACACCGACTAGGGGTTTACCCCATTAAGTTCTCATTCTAGAAGAAGCAATCAGAACCCACATCACTCAAAGACTAAGTCTAAACCTGCAAACAAAAGGTTATATCAACAGCAAGAACCCACATCACTCAAAGACTAAGTCTAAACCTGCAAACAAAAGGTTATATCAACAGCAAGAGTCAGTACATTAAACAAGTTAATGTACTGGCAAGCACAAGTCAATCATAACATACTACATGTAAATGTAAGGCATATATTCAAAGGAAGGCAATATGTAGTTCAATTTCACCATAAAGCAAGTTTTATTTTCGCAAATCCTTTGTAAAGGAGTTGATGCTTCAATTAACAAAGATAAGTTTTTAAGTTTGTAACATTTAGTTCATCATAATTCCATCATAGTCAATCTCTTGATGTCATCCTTGACAACAAGTCATAATATATCATCACACTTACACAACTCAACACATTTTATCAATTTCAAACCAAGTCACATGTTCACATTTTTAAAACATAGTCTATACTCATGACACTTCACCAAAGCGCTCATGACCATGAGAACGGCTAATCGATTAGTTTAAAGAACTCCTGCAGAGTTTGTACGGGTTTACCCACATAATGTGATAGAAGCCCGGAGGCTACACTCTAGTTGGTTCAGTGCCGGCCAAGCACCCCACACTCTACATTATGAGTGCGGACTAGAGGTCACAATGAAGCCTTTACACTACTTAGAATCTAGCCTTGCACCAGCACGATATGTGTTCATCCTAGGCATACTTGGAAATATGTCTAGAACCGTTAAGTGGCGGGCCCACGCCTTAAACTTAAGGCCGTGGTGGCGGACACGACAGGAACCCACCACGTGGCACAATACCGTTGTATTGGACAGACTTAGTCACCTAAACTACCACATCGGGGTAAATAGGAAGTTCCTCTGAATCATCGACTAATTCCTTAGAATTATCGACTAACTAATACACACCGGCCAAACAGAATGCAAGGCTAGTCCTAAATAGATTAATTAGCTTAGGCCATCCCATACTAGCACATGTGGATGTACGAATAACTTTAAGTTGGTGACACAAGTTCGGTCCTTACGGACTTGAGCAAACACTCCCCCCTATCGGTATGCAACTAACACCATATGCACACCACTTGCCGCCCAAGTCTAAAATCACATTTTACACATTTTAGTCCACAAATACCCATCACATTCATTTTATTCCAGAAAAGGTTCATGTGTCAAAATCATATTTTAATCATAGGTGGAATGAGCATTTGCATATTTCTAAGCATGGTTAAGCAAGTAGTTGCATATAGAGCATATATAAACCCATTTGAGCACAAAAGAGTGTACTCTAACCATTTCTAGGGGTTCAAGCAGCAAGGATCACAATTATTCAAGGTAAGGAATGCAACAAATAGGTAATAACTACCTTATCCCAATTTTAAATACCGATATAGTCTAAGTTCATATGCATCTTTGCAAACAAATATTTTCATTTATCAAATCATGGGATTCAATGTGTTCAAAGGATGTGAGGAGAAAACTTGCCTTAATACTAAGAAATGTTAGCGCCTAATCCACTCCTTCACCGATTATGCAATGACCTAAATAAAGGACACGCTATGCAATTAAACACCGAAATAGGTAAAAATCCAAAATGCTCTAAAATGCATGATTTGTACACAGTGTGTTGGTACTGGTTTAAAATGAATTTAGGTGAAAGAATTTCTATTTTATCACTTTTTATTTGGGAGTTATGAATTTTAGAAATTATGTCGGTATATAATAGTATAGGTTTAGGCAATGCTACCAAGTATTTTTGCAAAGTGGTATTTATTAGATTAGACTTCTCAGGGGTGTAGAGATGTGTTTTATAATACTAACACATTTGGTTTCACAATTTTTAGAGTTATTATGAATTCTTTATGCATTTTACAGGTTATAACATGTTATAGGTGTATAGTGTCCTACATGCACATGCCTTTGGTATTTGAGGTTCAGAATTTATTCTACTTTTGTTGCGATGAATGAAGCAAATAATTTTGTTAATTAATCTATCCTTAGTTCACAAGTTTAGGGCCTTTATTATTTTAGTTCATATTTTATAATATAGAGGGGTTCTATATGGATGACTTTATAAATATCAACCTAGGAATTATCATTTGAGCTAAGTTCCTCTAAGTTTTGGTGAATGGGGATGGAACTATGGCCTCACTGGTCTATCAAGTTTTATTTAGGTTTATTTAGAGCTAAGTGCATATATACTTATACATATCTATGTATTACCTTAACAACACTATGTGTTTAAATTCTTATTTCACTAAGTTAAGATTTTGAGCTATGTTCTCTACAAAAGGTGTCAAGTTTTATTTTACTATATTGAAGCTCACTATTTTCTGGTTCTATAGAAACTTTCTTCATTCCAATTGGACTAAAAATGAATTTTCTACAAATTTTACAAATTAAAGGCTGCTCTATGTTGGTTATTCCTTACATAAATATTTAGAGGCTTTTATTATAAAAAAATATATATTTTTATTTTACCAATTGGAAATACATGTTTTGGTGATCCTACAGAACTTAAGTTTACTCAAATTAAAGCTAAGTTGAATTTTGTATGAATTTATAAAGTTTAGCTTATCTAAAACTAGTCATTTTAAAGATAATAGTTTTAGAGGCATTTGATACAAAGCAAGTGATTACTTTTATTTCAGCTAACCAGAGAGTGCATGATGATGAATTTGTAGAATTTGAGTTTGTCCCAAAACAAGTTAAATTAAATTTTCTATGCATTTTATAAGTTTGTGTATGTGTTACGTATGCTTTACCTTAGACAAATTTTTGAGACAAAGTTTGAACAGTGAGTGTCAAGTTTTATATTTCTAAATTAAATTTCATAACTTTGTGAATCTATAGCGACTGGAATCATCTCAAAATGAGTTATATTTGATTTTATATGAATTTTCAACTTTGAGTGTTTTTCTGTTGAAAATATAATGTTTTAAGTGTTTTTCTTTTATATTCTCAGATTTTAGAAGGGATGGGTCCACCTGTTAGTGAGAGATCAATATGCAAAAAGGCCTCTAGGGTTCCAGAGATTAGATCGTGAGGTCCCTAGAACGTGTTTTAACCAAATTTATTAGGAATCCTCGAGTTTTACAGTTTTTACTAATAGATTCTTGGTCCCACATGTCAATCTAACATATTTTACATTTTAAACCTTACATGTTTTAAAATATCTAAACGAGATCCCTAGCGCCTAATGACGTGGGGCCCATTCGTCAGCGAGTCAGCGCCTGGGAGAGACAGGGCAGACAGAGCAGCGGCGGCTTGGCGAGCTCCTCGCCTGCGCCGGCGATGAACGGCGGCCGATCTCGTGATGTGACCAAAAGAGAAGATTTTCCTAAGCTTCTTGCGCATCTATCCGTGGTTGTCTCAAGGTTAGAGGTGGTCGGAATCAATGGTGACGGCGGTGCGAGCGGCGGTGGTTCTCGGGGTGGTGGTGCATGTGTGCATGGAGGTCGTTTAGAAGCGAATGCAAAGCATGCATGAGGTCTTCAAGACTACAGGGTGCTCACCGTGGGTCAAGCTAGGGTTGTCGAGGTCTTGGCAGCAGCGTCGACTTGCGGAACGGCTCGGCGACGGCGCTCCTCCTCAGGTGAACGGCGATGGCTCGAACGGTACGACGAGCTGCTAAAAGTAGGCATGCACGAGGGCTGTGAGGTCATAGAGATGGTGTCTGCGCGAGGAATCGAACAATGGCTCACCGGAGCGGCAGGAATCGAAGATCGACGTTGGCGGCCGGAGTTGGGGAAGAAATCGGTGATCTCAGTGTACAGGCTCCTGGGGTCGAGCCGATGACGATGGCGCAGCGGCTTGCTCCGGGATGGACTAGGGTGGTCGGGCGACGATGATGCCGAAGCGGCGGCGTTCCGAAGCTCCCGTGGGCACGGTCGCGTTCCGGCGTCACCACTGCATGTCAAGAGGAGAGATTAGGTGGAATGGATATGGCATTGATAGGAGGTTTCAGATCGGGAAAGGAGTCGAGACGACCGCGGCACGATGGCGATGGCGACGGTCGTCGTCTCCACGGCCGCCGGCGAGAATGAGGATGACAGAGAGGCAGAGGGCCTTTCTCCCTCGGCTTCTTCGGCTCTAGAGTGTTGAATGGTGAAGGGCGACTGAGTTGGCGGAGTTGAAGGTGAAACTCGGCGTCGGCACGTCAGCTCCACGCGTCGAGCACTCCCTCCGCCAACGATCTCTCTCTCTCTCTCGTCTGTTCAATCGGCTGGAGCGGTGGAGAAGTGGTTTGACAGAGCTAGAGCTAGCTCTAGTGGCTGTCAGGTGGGGCAAGGACGAAGTATACTAGTAGGTGGAAGGGAGAGGTGTGGGTAAATACATGGGTAAACTTGATTTTGGATGAATTTTCGGAATTATTTTCTCCTCTAACTTTGTAGCTTCATAGCTTAATGTGTGGATCAGATTAAGTAGTGTTGATTTTACTGGAAGTAGATGTTTATACTTAGTTGCCATTTTTTTTGGTTGCACTTAAAAATTATGGATAGATTGATCACAGAAATTAAACAAAGATCGGTTATCTAAGAGCTAGATTGAATTTTGAGGAGGCTTAAACAGAGGAATAAAATTCTAGAAAAATTATATTGAGATATGATAAATAATATAGTATTTATATAAATTATTTACCTCATATACTTTTATGCATTTTAATTCACTTTTGGGTGAAGTATGGTTTTAGCCAATAAAGGATTTTAATTAGTCTACTATGTGACTGTTTTGATTAATTTATTTGAGGTATCAACTTGAGTGTTAATATCTGACCAAAATTACAGTGAATAGTTTGTGCTAATCATTGTCTACATAAATTTTCCCATGATTTTATCTTGTACAAAATATTTTAGAGAATTAGGATGACCTTTTCTTTGTATATGAGTTCCCTCTTCATAATTGCATCTAATATTATTATAGGAATTACTTTAAACTTCTTTCGAACTGAGAAGATGATATTTGAGTAAATATTATGTCCACATATTATCACCCAAGATTAACTATAAGTTTATTTAGTAATTTAACCCTTTTAAGTTATGCTCATGGGACCTATTGTAAAATGCGAGACCAAAATCCAAATGCACAAGGGACTCGAGTCAAGGCATGCATTATGCACATGTATGCTCATTTGCTTGGTGGAATTTATGGTCTAATGTTAGGAATGAAAAGGTTTTATTTTGTTGTCAAATTTTATTTATGCAATGGTTTAGATTGGTCTCACCTAAGTTAAAACGGAAATTTTTGGCTCTCAAAATTGTAAAAGTTTGCCTATATCTATTTTGTCTAGAAATTTTTAAGTCCTAAAATTTCGGGTATGTTACAAGGGGGGAGCTCATCGGCGGTTATGAATGAGGCTAAAGTATGAGACAGAGAGAGATAGAGAGAGAGAGAGGGGGGGAATGAGAACGGATTTGAGGATGGTAGACGAGGTGAGACGGTAACATGTGGTTGTGGTGATTGCTATGGCCACCTTATCTTTTCCAGCACACAGGTGACACCGCCATCTTCAATGTTGGCCAAGAGGCAGCGTCCGCATCATCGTCATCACCATCGCAATCCTCATTGATCTTCATAGGTGAGTTCGGGGGGGGGGGGGGGGGGAGGGCGGGCGGGGGTGGTGGTGGTGGGGGAGGGGGGCGCAATGGCGTGAGGTCGAAGTCATCGTGGTGCGACAGATGCACGCATGCTCACTGCTGCCACGGTTTCGTCGTTGACCTCTAGCTTCACTAGGCCCCCATGCTATCCTAGAGTGCTACCGCCTCGTCAAGGTTTGCCTCCACCTAGATTTGACTCCGCAATTTGCTTCTCTCTTATGGCAGCGCCAACTCACAGAGGCTGGAGCCGCAAGGGAAGCTCGTGGAGGACGCTTGATGGTAAGCGGTTGAACTTGTACGTGTAGGACCTGGGGGCATGGTTGTGCAACTGGCGGTGAGGTGGGCTCATGGCCAATGGAGGGGAAGGCCACACAAGAGGAGGCGAGAGAAGAGAGAGTATAGAGGAAAAGAGAGTGTAGAGTTTCTGGTATGACAGTAAATTGAACTTTTGTGGTAGTTGAGGGGGAAAAATATTCAAACTTAACCCTTTTAACAATGAGTAGATTTGCATTGGTCGTTACTGCCAGATTTTGTTTTAAAGTAGAAGAGATAAAGACGTACTTATCCTTGGATGGTCTGCGACTTAATTAGGACTCTCCAAACAAGCACCAAAGGGGATATTATTCAAATGTTGCATCTGCACACATTTATCGCCTTACCCTAGTGGCCTAATCCACTTCTGCTACCACAACTATCCATTCATCTAAAAACCAAATTAGAAAAAATAAATACATTCTGACAGAAAAGGAATATATCCAACTAATGAATGACAGTTGGAAGATAAATAAAACGATAATTGAGTAGAAAATTCTTTTAGAAAACAATTGAGTAGATAGAATATTAATAACTACCCAATTTGGTTCAGCCTTCTAACTCTATATAAACACGCCCACAAAGGCATATGTTTCAACCCCCACACCAAAACATAATAAGGTTTGCTTTGGCCTTTGCATCATTATATATATCTCCTCCCATGGCGCATCTCAAGAAGGATGCTAGGGTTCTCTTACTTACAGCCATTGCAGTCATGGCGATGATCTTCTCACCTTGTAACGCAGAAGGTACAATAATCTATTCTCTTCAGATTTCTATCTTGCACTAATTTCTAATAATACACAAAACTGTAAATACTACAAACATCTTATATTCAAACACAATGATACTCAATTTAAAAATAATGGAGTCTTTTTATGCACCATTAATTTATTTCTTATATCTATGTATAAAACGTACTCCAACACTTATTTATCCTATTTACAGGCATAAAATTTTGTTTCAGCCTATGCATGCATTTATACGCAAATATATAACATACTGATTTAGTGGCATTACTACACGTAACTACTCGGTGTACTGAGCACCTCTAGGTGTTTTAGGTCACATTAATCGTAATAATATATTACATAAAAATTTAGAGGATCCCTGTAAGTTTTGTTGTGGATTCGTCACTGCTGATGCTATTGATATTACAGTTGCAGACAAGTGCTACACCGTATATAGATGCACTCTTCCAGCATGCAACGACTACTGCATCAAGCTGGGTGTACATAACCCACAAGTGACATGCAAGCTCAGCTTCCCACCCTCCGACTACTATGACACGTGCTGCTGCGGCACGTGGGACGACAAAAGCGTGGGCGCACGCCGTCTGCTGTCCCGTTGACATTATAAACTAGCCGTGCCCCCCCGCGCGATGCGCGGGCATCATCCAAGATCTTTAATCATAAAAGAAAAAAAAAGCATGATTGAAAACAACATAGCTTGCAACAGTGCTATACAACAACAACTCGATCAGAAAAAGAATATCACGATAGAATATCACGATGTTCTAAATTTTGATTGATGTAATCGTACCATAATTTTTTTATAATCAATGTTACACTAACAATGGGTATCTCGGTGCATAGTACAATTACAACAACGTGAGTAAAATAAACAACATTTGTATTTCAATACCTAGCTGTACCCAGGAAGACCAATGGGGCGATGATTAATTGGAAGGATAGTCAATCAAAACTGTGTCAGCACATCACAGGTAGTAATTGCAACTTATATTGTACATATTTTACAATCTATACTAAGACGGCCATGAAAAAAAAACAAATAGAAATCAAGGTTTACTTCTCCATGATCCAGAACCTATGAATTTGTAGCCAGTTCTGCAGATATGAGAGTTCAATATTCTTGCCAGCTTGTCAATAATTAGCATCAATCTACTTTAGCCACCAATAAAAGAAAAAGGGAAGTAGATCCACCTTTTAACCTTGATGAAGAGCATCAATATGTTCTTAGTACATGATATATAAAATAATGAACACCATGCATATCCCACGTAACTGTTAAAAATATATTTTCAACGGAATGAAACAGTTTCTAATTTTGTAAATCATGTTGAGTAATATGTAGCATCAGTATATATATAATAGCTTGAAATTACCTGGCTGGTGGTCGTAGAAGAATCAATGAAAACGTGTATCAAACCATAAATCCATGATTTACAAAATATGGAACAAACCATTAAAATGCTATCACAATATTTGGTTATCCTGTTAGTTAAGGTCCAATGCTTGCCTCTTATTGTGCTCTTTGCAATCCCAGAGAACGAAAATGGCTAGTGAGAAACTGCCAAATATATATATATACATAGACACATACAAAAATATATGCTATAGTTTAACTGAATAACAGTTTATGCATACTACTTGGTGCAATAAAAAATAGAGTAGGGAATGATGTTTACCAGTACAATTAAATGATGATCATGTATACGGAGATAAAGATTAGACAACAAATAAGAATTCCCAAGGAACTACTAAAATAACTGAAATAATACCAGGAAATAACAGGTAGAGGAACACCAAAGAGCAATTGCCATGCAGCTGGAACCTACAAGCCTTGAACCTGAAGTATGAATAAAAGGAGAAGAATTAGCAAATGAAGCCTCCCATGTGAAGCAAGAGCATTTTTGTGAGAAAAATAAATGAAATGAAATATGCAGTGTGTTGTTGTGTACGCTAGAAATGTTGATATAGCATGATGGGCATATGAATCTAGGTATTTAAGAAAAAGGAAAATCACACTGCACATATTTGCTCTAGTAATAAACTGAGCTGCTCATAGAGGCACGGGGCCATATGTACCAAAACAAAGTTGCTTATGTGAGGCAAGGACGTAGAATATGCATGTAATTAAGCGTATGGCAAGATTATATGAAAAATAGTTTGTAGGCGATACAATACAGCAGGAAGAAAGTGAATTTGACAAACCTTAGTGGAGATAGGACTGAACATGTAAACACAAACAGAATGGGACCTGTGGAAAACATATATGAATATATTGTCTGCAGCTTATAGCTAGCACACTAACCTGAAGCTGGAGAGTCCGGCAAAGGCTCCTTTCGTTTATGCTGTGATGTAGTTGTCGATGGCCCAGAAGAGCATGACATCGTGTGAAAGCTCAATGAAGAGTGACAAGGCCTTGCTGAAACAATAATAATCCAATG